CCAAGAAGGTGGGTGATCCAAAGCCTACGGTTATTTTTGTACCATGGGAAACGAGGGTGTCTTCTGGCGCATTTGAGAGGCAACAGCTATGGAGAAAATGGTTTCAAATTCTTTATTGGCCGTTTTCTTTTTGAAATACTATGGCTTAATTGTGGGTATTGCCAAGGCCAATTAGGGAGTCCCTTCTAGTGCCAGTGTTGGCATTTGGTCAAAGTACGTGAGTTTTACACGGGAAGAGTGGAAGAGAGGAACCGCAGCGGAGAGCGTGACGGACTGGAGGACGGTCATTGCCGTGGAACGAAGAGAAGAGGCGGTTCACGCGTCTCAATTGAACGGTCCCAAGGCGTTGACGAAAGACGGCAATATTTTTCTGCCTGTGGAACGCCTTCCTGCGAAAAATGCCAGCGCGATTTTGGAAACTCCACACATTTGGGAGCTTGTGCCTGTTTTGGGTGACGTTTTTGGTCTCCAACGATGTGGGCAAGCGCATCACGTGGGGTGCTGGGAGCCTTTCCAAGGCTGTTGTTGACTCTCAGCTACGAGCGAAGTCATGGAATGGGTTCTGGGGTATTGGCGGCAGGGGCGTGGTGGCGAATGGCACCGCGATTGTGTTTCCCCTTGTGGCTGTGAAGGGGGACAACACAAAAGTCTGCAACATCATCCATTCGAAGGGCTGTGGCGGGAATTGGGGGTTCCCTGCGGAGGGTGTTGCTGACGGGATTGCGCTGATCCCGATCTCTTTGAGTGGGAGGGAAAACTCCTCATGGCCGCCACGCATGGAGGCCATGACGGGAAAGTACATGATTCCGGTGAAATGGGGGAGGAATGGATGTAATTCGGCGGAGCACATTCGAATGTCTTGAGTGAGGCCTTGAAGAGTGCTACGACTTGTGGCCGACTCGAAATTGTGACGGCATCCATCGAGGGGAGGAGTGTAATGCTGCTTGCTTTTCCCAGGCAGAATAATATTCGGAGAGCCACGAGCGTGTTGCGTCTTTATATGACTGATATGAATCGATTTTACCCCATTGGACCGTTATTTGCTGATGGTGTTTCTAAAAACTCAGATACTCTGCAGTACAAGGGTGGTGAACTGTTTGCCCTGTACGAGTGGAATGCAGGACAAGGGCGTGTTGTGCTCGCACACCTCACTGAGCAGCTGGATGAAATAAAGACTGCGCTGAGGAATTGGGATGCAGTCGAGAAGAACGTCGCAACACCTTGCACTTCCACCAGCAAAGAGGGAACCGCATCCGACGGTGCCTGCAGCACTCCTATGCCCACGAATGGACTGGTCGGATATTTGTCCAACGAGGGTGAGAGGGATTGCTGGGTGAACGAATATCTCGCGGCGAGTGCCACGGTGATTGGGACAGCAACGAAGGTTGAGGGCGGTGCGACGTTTGAGGGGCCTGGGGTGTGGGCAGAGTGGCCTGTGGGTAATCGGTGGCGGAATCAACGATTCCACATTGTGAAGAAGGAGTTCACTCTTTTGGTGACGGCGACGATTGGGGCGGCTCCTGCAGGCAGCGGCAGCGCCATTATGGTGGCTGTGGGTGGCGCTGGGAGTGTGAGGATGGTGGGACTGTCAGTCACGGCGGACAATAAGCGGTAGGCGACGTTTGACGGTGAGGCGGGAGAAGTGCAGCACGGGAACTGCGGGCTGGAGAGAACGTACCGGGTGGCATTCGTGCTCCACAACGGCATGGGCACCGTGTGCGTGGGTGGCAAAACTTTGGGGAGCTCAGCAACGACAGTTACACGTGGGGCGCAGTTGCTCGACGTCTCATGCTTCTACGTTGGAGGTGACGGTTGCAGTGGCTCAGGCTGCAGTTAGGTGACGCTGGCGCATTTCTGTCTGTGCAACCGCCCAGTGACCAGGCAGGAACTACAGATGCCCCTTTTGCGTGGCAAGCAGACTGAAGCGGGTTGCAAGGAGGGAAAAGCGACACTGCGCCCGGTAATTTTTTGGCCAAACTGCCACAGGATCCGGGCATTGACGCGGCTGCGGGGGAAGCGGTGCCAGTGCCCGCCAAGGGGGAATTTTGCGCGGGAAACAGCACCACTGATGTCAATGGCTCTACTGTTTTATTGTTCCCAAAAGGAATTTGTTACGGCGCCGTCCATGGGTGTGTGCCTTGGGCATTTTCTGTCTTTACTTCAAGGAGTGTGTGGGGAATTGGCATTTTTATGAGCCGTAGAGTGTGGTTGTGCGATCTCTAATGGACCGTACGTGCCGCTTTTTCCGCGTGTTTTCTCTGCCTTATTTTAAATGATTTGTTTTTATTGTCTGCTGCTGCTGGTGCACGGATGGGATAGTCAGCAGCCCTTCTTTTCCTTTTTCCGTCCGATGGTTAATTGCCGTGCACTGTCACGAGTGAAGTATTCTCCTTTTGTTTTGTTTTTTTTGTCCACAGCGGTGCCAGCCTTACTGCTGTGCGTCCCACGGACTGCACGAAGTGAGGATTGGAGGAACAGGCCGGATGCCGCAATGAAGTGTGAAGAGTGTTTTGTGGGCTCGTGGAACAGTACGATCTGTTTTATTTTTGATTTTATTGTTCTTTTTTTTGTGCAGGAAATATGTACGTACAAAAACACATGGTTGTTTTTGCCGCATGGCACATGAAATGAAAGTCGTGCATCATCATTGTTTTATTTTTTTACTTTTTGGGAGCCCTGCCGGACTCTCAACTCTGTTGTTGTGCGTCTTTACTTTTTGGCTTCTGGTTTGCAGGGCGGTTTGTGTTTTTTCCCTCTCACTGATTCCATCTGCCTTATGGTGTTGCTGGGATGTTGTTGTTGTCACCGTGCGTGGCGTAGCAGCCGTGTCTCTCCTTTCCTTTCACTCTGCGTTGACGGGGAGTTAGTTTGTGCTGAAGGCTACACGCAAGTAACAGGAGTGATGGCGATGATGATGACTGGCCGTGTGCTGCTGGTGTGTGCCCTCTGCGTGCTGTGCTGCGGTGCCGGCGGTAGGTGTGACGAGGAGAAGGCAGGCCGTGGGAGTGGTGGTGGACCACCGCTGGGATCAGCAGAACTTGAAAAGTCTCCAGAAGAGACCCAAGAATTAAAGGTCGGACCAACAGATGTTAATGGAAAAGTGCCACCCACATCTTCCCCACATATAGAGGAAGCTGGGGGTGAAGATAGTGATGATAATGAATATGGAGAAGAAAAGGATAAAAAAGGCGAAAATGAAAAAAATAAGGTACAACTCCAGACACACGAGGGTAAAAATAATGAGGGAGCATCCCTACCACCGCCACCACCAATACCATCGGGAGACCCAACAGCAGAGCGAGAAAACCCACAGAATTCAAAAAAAAAATAACGAACGAAGCCACGCCGTCAGGACCCAAAAAGGGCTCAGAAGCACCGGAACCGCCTTCAGGGGATGCTACACAAGGACAGCACAGTCATGACACAGACACAGAGGATCCGACGAAGAATGCAGCAACCGGCAGTCCAGCAGAACCAACAACATCATCTACCTCTACAAGTGGCAGCGGAGATCATGTCCAGAATAAAGCAGAGGAGAATGATGCTCAAAGCTCTGAAGGACAACACGACGGCCTTGAAACTGGCAATACCAACGTTGTTCCAACACTCAGTGAGACAGCACCACAAACAGCAAAAACAATCACCGCCACTCAAACAAATCATACGACGAATACAGAAAACAGTGACGGCAGCACCGCGGTCTCCCACACTACCTCCCCTCTTTTGCTTCTTCTTGTTGTTGCGTGTGCGGCTGCTGCTGCGGTGGTGGCCGCGTGAGAGTGAGGGAGAGAGAGCCGTGCACCGCCCGCACACACACTCGTCTTTCACTCACTCTGTGTGTGTGTGTCCCCTTGCATGGACTCTCGCCCTCACCTCATCCCACGAAGCACACACATAATGTGCCCATTGTATATATGCATGCACACCCATGCATGCCCGTTGGTGCTCTCTTTTGCACGACACGCACCGCTGCCGTCCTGCCTGGCTGCATGGGCGGAGCACCGTAACTGTTTCTGTTTTGTTTTCATTGCATTGAGTGGGCGACCTCTCTCTCTCTCTCTCTCTCTCCCTGTGTGTGTGTTTTGCTTTACGGGAGCAATGAGAGTGTGTGCGCTGGTCGTCCCACGCTTCGGCTTTTTGTTTTGTTTTTCATTGTTTTGTGGTTGAGTGCACCCATTCTGCGTGTGTTTGTGTGATGATATGAGGAATTTGCGTGTGTGCTATCTGCCTCTCTCTGCCGTTGCTTTTTTTGGACTCTCTTGTGCCTCACAGCTGCTCTGCAATTATAGGCGCTGACACACACGTACATTATTCTGGCATCAGCGGCCCTCGCGGGGAGGGAAGACGTGAGTCCGCAACGCGTCCCGGCGAGGTAATGCGGTTGTTATTTTGGCGGCGTGCAGAAAGTGGATTGTGTGGCATTGAGGGTGCCTGGGATGAATGTCTGTTGACTCTCTTCCAACAACTGTACGTGCCGACGTGTCACTGCCGCCGTGAATTTGGCGACGAAAGATTCTTCGCCTGTGCGGGGTGATGTGCGCCTGTGGCGGTTGAGAAGCGGGTGTGCTGGAGGAACCAACAGTAACATGACCGGCGACAGCGCTGTATTGCTGCGAAGGGCAGTTGTGCTCTTTTGCGTCCCGCCTGTTGTTATCGTGTGGGCGTCGCTCGATGTGTGCTGACGCGTGAATAACGACACACCCGCCGTGACTCCTGCTGGTGGTGGTGGCAGTCGCTGTGTGTTTCCGGTGCACTGTTCTTCCGCCTCGTTCCGTGTGTCTGTGTGCGTGAGTTGTTGTTGTTGGGAGTGACTGCGGCGGGGATGATGGTGCCACTCACTGTGGATGGGTGACGGTGCTCATTTTTTTTTTTAATTTATTTATTTCTTTATTTCTCTCAATCACTCACGAAGAAAGCAAACAAGCGCGAATCTCTACTGTGAAATTCGAAGGCTCTGAAAGGAACAAGAGCACACACACCGCCCACACACACATATTTATATGCTCTCACGTGTTGCTGCTGTGAAGGCACCCCGCACACACAGTTATCGCCGCGTGACCGGATCCAGCGGAAGGAGGAGGGAAGGAAGAGAGAGTGAGCCGCGGGGGCCCAACATGTCCCGGCGTGCGTTTACTTCCGCATTGCTGCTCCTTCTTGTCGTGATGATGTGCTGCGGCACTGGTGGGGCTGCACTCGCGGAGAATGCGCCAGGTCAGGAACCTTCACCGAGTCCATCTTTTGTTTGGAGAGACACGACAGCTGATGAAACAGTGAGTTTGCTCTATGCTCCCAGTCTTGTTGGGTTGAATGGTGGCGTGTTTGCCGTTGCCGAGGCGCAGTGCAGAAGTAATGGTTTCATTTTTTCTTGCATTGCTTCACAATTTATAAAGTTGGGAGACAAAAAGCCAAAAGACCTGGAAACAACTCAAGTGAAAACAGAAGTACTGCAGAAATGTTATTCCGATAAAGAAGGGGAATGCCTCTTCGAAACAGCAGTTCCGACTGATATCCAAAACCAGCCGAGAGTACATGTGGGCCGACCAACAACAGTTGTGGAGGGAAATGATATTTACATGCTTGCTGGAGTCTACATAAATGAATATGTCCCCAGTTGTAAAGTGGATGCGTCTGACGCGGCTCCATGGGGTCTTTTGCTGGTGAAGGGGAACGTCAGTGGTAATGAGGAAAATGACCAAAGAATTTATTGGAATAATACCCTCAGTATCCCCTGCAATGTTATTGGTGAAAATGACGACTCGTTGACAGGACACATTGGCGGTGGTGGATCGGGTGTTACGATGAAGGACGGTACGCTTGTGTTCCCGTTGGAAGCCGTGAAGAAGGATGACACAGAAAAAGATGGAAAGAATAAAAATGTTTCGCTGATAATATACACCTCCAAGGATAATAATGATTGGAAGCTGTCGAAGGGGATGTCTGCCGATGGCTGCAGTGATCCCTCCGTCGTGGAGTGGGAGGAGGGAAAACTCATGATGATGACTGCGTGTGATGATGGCCGCCGCAGGGTGTACGAGTCCGGTGACAAGGGGGATTCGTGGACGGAGGCCCTCGGGACACTCTCGCGCGTGTGGGGCAACAACCAAAAGCGACATGAGTGGGGCGTTGGAAGCGGTTTCAGCAAAGCGACGATTGAGAACAGGGACGTGATGCTCGTCACTCTGCCGGTGTATGCCAAGAAGCACGAAAACGAAAATGAAAAGGGTGAACTCCATCTTTGGCTGACGGACAACACGCACATTGTTGATATTGGGCCGGTATCCGGGGAAGCTGAGGACGTTGCCGCCAGCTCCCTGCTGTACAAAAGTGCTGGAAGTGGAAATAATAATAATGAGGAGTTGATTGCACTGTACGAGAAAAAGAAGGGCGGTGGGGAAAAACCATCATCACTCGGCATGGTCTCTGTGCTTCTGACTGAGCAGCTGAAGCAGGTGAAGGAGGTGCTGGTGACCTGGAAGAAAGTGGACGAACGTGTCTCCAAGCTGTGCCCTTCAACTGCTGCGACGAATCCCTCAACTGGCAATGGCTGCAGCACTGTTAAGATCACGGATGGGCTGGTTGGCTTTTTTTCCGGCAACTTCTCTGGTAACACATGGAGGGACGAGTACCTCGGGGTGAACGCTACAGTAAGTAATAAAGATGGTGGGGTGGAGAAAACGGAAAATGGCGTGACATTTAAAGGACGTGGTGCGTGGGCGGAGTGGCCTGTTGGCAAGCAAGGGGAGAATCAGCTGTACCACTTTGCGAACCACAACTTCACTCTTGTGGCGACGGTGTCCATCGACGGTGAGCCAACGAAGGAGGGTTTTATTCCTTTGATGGGTGTGCGTGCAGGCAGTGACGGAGGAACGAAACTTATGGAGTTGTCGTACGGCAGCGGAAAGAAGTGGCAGGCGCTGTGCAGTGACGGAACAACCGCGGAGCACAGCAGCACTTGGGAGCGAGATACGACGTACCAAGTGGCCATCGTGCTACGGAACGGAAAACAGGGCTCCGTGTACGTCGATGGTCAGCGTGTGTGTGAGAGTATGCGAAGTAAATTGGAAACTACAGAATCGAAAGGGATTTCCCACTTCTACATTGGAGGGGATGGAGTCAATGCAGAGAACACAGCGGGTGACGAAGGTGTGTCTGTGACTGTGAGGAACGTCCTGCTGTACAACCGCCCGTTGAAGTTTACTGGTGGGAGTGCCGATTTGGAAGAAGATATTGCATCACCCTCTGAGGCTCCAGTGGAGCAAGCGGCCTTGCAGCAGTCTCGAAAGAAAAGTGAAGAACAGCAAGTGCCGGCAGTTTCGAGCTCCCATGCCGTTGGAGAAACAACAGGCGACGGCGGCATTGTGCGTGGGAGCGGACTGCTGCCGTCGCTTCTTCTGTTGTTGGGACTGTGGGGGTTTGCGGCTCTGTGAGGAGTGACTGGCTGCCGCGTGGAATACCTGCGCCCTACCGAGCACAGAATTACTATTCCCATAGGAACAAATTTCTTTCATAAAATCTTTTTTGAGCGTATTTTAAATTTGTTTTCCTGTTTGCTTCTTTTTGGTTTTTTTCTGTTCGTTTTTTTTTTTTTTTTCTTTTTTTTTTTTCTCATACCCCTTTTAATTGTTTCTTCTGCACTCTTCCTGTGAGGGGTGCCGTGTGTTTCCCGCCCAACTGCTCCACCCGCACACCCACGGACACGCTCACGACGACGGCCCTGTGCGCCTCGCCTGCTGCACGCATGAGGAGGGGCTGCGACGAACGGCGCGCTGAGGGAGCCGTGACGTGTGGGCGTGCGACGAGGGCCTGTGGGGCGGAGCACACATTTCTTTCCCTCTTGTTTTGTTTCTTTGCGGCCAGGGCGGGCAGACACCCGCAGCGCCACACACACAGCCACACCCTGCCGCCGTGTTTTTTTTTGTTTTTGTTTTTTTGCTTATGTGTTTGCTGCCACCGTGCGTGATTGTTGAGGTTTGGGCCGTACCGCATGTATCGCTGCCATCCAGCTATGCCTCTTGCTGTGTTGATGTGCCTCCCTGTGCTCCTCTTCTTTTCTGCTCTTCCAGCAAACACACATAAGTAGTTGCACAGTGGTCTGCATGAATGCTCTTGGCGACAGCGGGGCGTGGGCTGACGTCCCGTGCTGAAATGATGACGCGGCTGCACGATGCCCGCCACGTGTGAAGATGTTGCCTGCTCTTGGGGACATTCTCCTCTCCTCGTTGTTTTTGCTCTGCCGAGTACGTGCTTTGCTTGGTGTGTGCTGACGCGTGACGGACTGTGCCACGATGCCCTTCTCTGACGATGACAGTCGCTGTGTTCTCGGCACACACCCACACACTCTTTCTTGTCTCTCTGTGGGAGTGATTGTGGCAGGGCATTGCTGCGAGCGTGATGGGGACCACGACGGCGTCACCCCTCGAGAAGGTCCCACGCTCTGTTGGTTGTGGAGGGGCGAGCCGGTTTGCCTGCAGCCCGACTGACAGAACCGCACAGTCGTTGCATTGCGGTCACTCCGTCGGCATCATCCGCTGCGGTGGTGTCCGCAAGAGCCGCAGCCCCGATGAGGATGGCCTTGTAGTTATCTGGCAGCTCAGAACTTCAGGCCATTCGCCCTTCAGGATTGCCCTTGCTGCTCGACTGGCGCAGCACCATCTCGGCATGGTTCTTCTGCAGGAGTGCAGGCACGAGAGTGCCCCAGCGACGAGGCTCATTGGCTGCAGTGACTTCCACCAGGCCTGCAGTGGGGGTGCCGGTGGCGTGGTCTTCTTGGTGCGCCACACCTTGCCGTGCGAGCACCTGTTGCTCGTGGCACCAACTGCGTGGAGACCACCGCCTTCCGCGTGCGCCTACAGGCCTGCTCCAGCATGTACTTGGTGAACCTCTGCAGCCTTCCCACGGCAGTTGCTCAAACTGCTCACTTTGCGAGCAACATTCGTCGCTTAGGCCTCGCAGCGGTTACTTGCGACCTGAATTCACACCATGAGCCGCGGGACGGTTGCTCACCATCAACGACGGCAGGAGAGGACCTCGCCGCCACCCCAAGCGGCATGGACTCTGAGCTGTCCGACGACCCGGCACAGGCAACGTGGAACAGCGGCTGCAGCGTCTCGTTTCCCGACGTGACTGCGCAACGCGTACTGCGTGTCTCCCACTGGACGTCCACCCGTTTACATGGACTCGGACCACCATCTGCCATCCCACACTGCAGGGACGGAGGACGGCATCCCGCGACAGGCAGGCATGCTGCCACGACGGAAACATGTCGCCATTTCCCTGCGTGAAGCTGACTGTGATGCTTCCACCTCGGCGTGTGCAACGTCTCTGGCCGCTTTGACCGCATGGTTGGAGATGCACCGAGGCACCGTACGAGCGGCAGCCGTGACAGTCCCACAGGAACCTGGACGGACGGAATGTAGCAGTCCGAGTGTGTTGCAGCGGCAGCCTGCCCCGAGCTGAAGTGCTCCGCAAACGGGAGGACCGCAATTATGCCCTCCGCCGTGGCTTCTCCATGCTGTCAGAGGTCCGTGCGAAACAGCTTGGTGCCCTCTCGAGCCAAGGCCTGTGATACCCCGAGGCATGGCAGCGCCACGTCCCTGCCCTCTGGGATCGGCTGTGCTGCGGTGCTGTTTGGGCCGCGTCTGTGCTCCGCCTCCACCGGAACCTCTTCCCGACGTGAGCACCGCCACTCCTTGCCGACCAACAAGCGGCTGATGGACGTCCTCCTGCCCACTCCTCGGCAGACCGGCACGCGCCCTGCACATTACAAGCAACCCTTTATGTCGGTGGTGCCGTCCCTTCCTCACACTGAAGAGGCAGGACCACCCCGACCTCCTCCGGAACCTCCACCTGGCGTGTCGACGGCACCTCCTCGTAGAATGACGAGCAGCAGATCAACGTCGCCCTGCCCAAGCTGCTGCGGCGTCTTCTCGTCCGTCCACAATATGAAGGCACACGCCCGACGCACCAACCCTGGCACTCCAATCGTTGCAGAAGGCCTCACATGTGGATTCTGCGACAGCTCCACGGTCTTCCCAACAAGTGCCTCACGCGCAGGTCACTACCGAAAATGTCAGGCGTATCAACGAGCAAAAAACGGACAACGCACCTCTGCAAGCTCCAATGACAGCCGTAGCCCTTCAGCCACTCCTCCGCTACTGCAACCCCGACCAGCCGCTGAGCCCCCGACAATCCACGGAAGGCCCTGCCGCACATGCTGTGGGAATGCCGCCGTCCTCGAAAACTCAGCATCCGACTGTTTGGGAACACCCTCTCGCACGACAGCATCGTTCAAGACGGAAAAACTGGCCGCATCGCTACGGACAGCCCGCAGGCCATTAACGAAAAGTGGCAGCAAAGTATAACAAAACAAACATTTCCCTTTTCTCAGCATAGAAAAAAGTCACCTTCACACTCGCAATTGCCACCAATGAATTCATTGCGTAATACCGCTCTGAGCTGCAATACTTCCTGGTACCATCCATGTCCCTTGTCGACACATTGATGCGGATGGGCGCCCATCCATTCCTCCCAATGACGGTGCATGTCTGCGACGCACCCTCAGATCCAAAAGGCACGTCCCTCACCACAGCCGGGATCGACTTCGCCCTGTCGGCACGCATCGCTTTATCAGAGGAGCAGGAGTACGTCAGGCTGGCAGCAAAGCACCTGCCGGCACAACCAGAAGCACCAGCAGCACTGCAGACCGTGGGGTAACGTGGATCAACCGACACATGCTTTACGTGAAGGAAGACACTTCATGGCTTGACACGGATAAGAAACACTGACAATATCTCAAAAGAAAAAATACAAAAAGAGAATTTGGGCGTACGCAGTCAAAGCAACCCACCAATTCAAAAAAAAAAAAGGTAATGGGTACACTCAACCACAACACAAGCAAAACAAAAAAAGAAAAGAAGCCGAAGCGTGGGACGACCAGCGCACACACTCTCATTGCTCCCGTAAAGCAAAACACACACACAGGGAGAGAGAGAGAGGTCGCCCACTCAATGCAATAAAAACAAAACAGTTACGGTGCTCCGCCCATGCAGCCAGGCAGGACGGCAGCGGTGCGTGTGGTGCAAAAGAGAGCACCAACGGGCATGCATGGGTGTGCGTGCATATATACAATGGGCACATTATGTGTGTGCCTCGTGGGATGAGGTGAGGGCGAGAGTCCATGCAACGGGACACACACAGAGAGTGAGTGAAGGACAAGTGTGTGTGCGGGCGGTGCACGGCTCTCTCTCACTCACTTTCACGCGGCCACCACCGCAGCAGCAGCCGCACACGCAACAAGAAGCAAAAGAGGGGAGGTGGTGTGGGAGACCGCGGTGCTGCCGTCACTTTCGACAGGCGTCACCGTATTATTCGTTTTGGCGTCGGCGAGTGCTTTTTCTGTTTGTGTTGCTGCATCACCGGCTGTAGAAGCAAGGTTTGTATAACCAGTTTCGGAGTTCTTGTTTGTTCCTTCGTATTTAAGCGCTTGAGCATTGCCATTGTCCGCATCCGCATTTCTCTGGGCATCGGCACTGCTATTTGCGGGGATGGGTGATGCTGTTGTTCGCGCTGGACTGTCTTGCTCTGCCAAATCATCCCCTGAAGGCTGCTCCACTGCTTTGGACTCCGTTTCGTTTTCTGACGGCAATTTTTCATTCTTTTCTTCCTTTGAGTTTTGTGCGACGTTTGTTGCCCTACGGCTTCCTTCTCCTGCTGAAAAACTCGGTGGTGTTGATTTTTTTTCTGATGGTGCCAGTGCTGATCTTTCTGGTGATGGTGCTGCCGGTGATTGTGTTAATAGTGGCGTTGTTTGTTGTACGGGTGGTTTGCTGGCGGCAGACGACGACCTGGAAGGAATTCCCGTCTCCACAGTATTCTGCACGTTCTCTTTTCCGGTTGTGACCTCCTCTGTGTCTGGACTATCTTCTGTGTCCTGCTCAGTGGAGGACTGCTCTTCTGCTTCTGGTTTTGGCATCGCGGGTGCCTGTGATTTGGGCAGTGAGGGTGCTGGAGGCGTCTTTCCTGAATGCACACCTGTTTCTGAGAAATTGTTCTTCTGAGGCGATAAAGCACCGTCGGTATTCTGCAAACCACCAGCAGCAGCATTGGGAAGGGGAGGCGGAGAGTTCACGACAGGACCAGAAACCTCCAAATTCAAATCCTCACTTCCGTCAGAACTTTCACTCGAGCCAACACCATCAACACCAGAAGGACTGCCACCACCGGCTTCACCGAGACCAGATGCTTTTGGTATCGTTAGTGGAGCTACCTCTTTCGATGAACTTTTGGATTTTCTGGTTTGTTGCGCATCTTCTTTTTCTTTACTTTTCTCTTTTTCTTCTTCATCAGTCCCTGCACCTTCATCATCATCATTATCTTCATCTTCTTCTTCTTCAACTTCATCCTCTGGAGGTTTTTTCACTTTAACACC